AGTCTATAGGATTTCCCATTAACACCACTGCACCAGACCAACTTCCCAACTTTCGAAGAGTCAGGGAGGCGGCTGGAGGTGAAAGTCCTCATACAACAAAATTCAATTATTTTTTAAGGCATCTTGAATAGGAAAGGTGTTCAATAGTGAGACTCGGGTCATCATCTTTACACCCTCCCCATACCTCTGCCCATCATGCTGGGCAGAGCAGCCACCAGGCCGTTGTGGTTTGTGCTGCTCACAGTCAGCTTTTTTCACAGTGATTGTGACATTCAGGTTTATTGGATGGCAGACTGGCCTGGATGCTCCCTTCCACTTTTCTGTTCATTATGCAAGACCCCTCTTTAACTCTTTAGATCATCTCTCTCCTTGCATGGCTGGAGCAGAGCCAAGGGGACAGAGTTGAGGCGACAGTCTGAACTCACATATTGAACACAAGTCACATGAGTCAGTAAATCATTTGTTTCTACAGGGGGCCCTGCACATGCCAGACAGGAATAATTAAATTATCAAGTGTCCAGGGAACTGCAGAGGCAGAGGACACTGGATATATTTGAGGTGGTGGAGCTGCCTTCTTCACAAAGTGTCTGACTGTTACATTCCTCATTAGCTTTGCTTCCCTCCCACCAGCCTACAACCCAGTGAAACAAAAGGGTCAAAAGCAGAGCAAGAGTAAGGCTGAAGCACAAGACTCCCAACAGGGAAGAGATGTTGACCTCACATATAACCTGCCTGCACTCAGAAGGACAACATCACCTTGGGAGCTGGGCTCTGCATCCATGCCTGGCACTGCCTCCCCATCCCCTCGGGTGCTCACTGCCCCTGGGCACGCTTACAGCCTGTTACTAATTTGGACTTGTCTCTCCAATTCATTCAATTGCTGTGAGGTGAGATAAAAGATGAAAAAAAAAAAAAAAAAAAAACCAAAAANAAAAAAAAAAAAAAAACAAAACCAAAAACAGAAGAAAAATAAATCTAGAAGGCAATGACTTTTTTATTTGGTGCCAGCCAGTGCTTAGTCAGGAATGGGACATCATTTGAACATACATTTTCCTGGAACAGCAAGAATTCCCAGTTCTCTTCCCAGGTAGAAACATGGGTGGGAAGAGGAGAATCATGCTTTCTAATAGCTGACAGTGTTCCTTTGGACTTAAGACCAGCTTCAGGGCTATAATTAGTGTTAGAAGAATGGCCAGTGTTGGTAGCCACATGTGGAGGACAAGCTTCCATCCACCAGAGAAAGCAGCACCTCCCTGGCACTCCTCCAGTCATACTCCTTTCCCCCCCAGAGGCATTCCTGTCACTTCAATGAAATTCTCACCACGAGAGATTTTGAGCAGCCTGTTGTGACAAGATCACTTTGAGTGCTGTGTGCCCAGCAATGCTCCAGGTCAGAGCTGGCTCTGCCTCCTGCCTCACTCCGTCCTCCCTGGCTGCACAAACATTTCAGCCACCCATGGAAATAACAATACAAACTCTCCTGGGAGCAGATGTGGCAAAACCCCTCAGCTGCTGCAAAAACTATGCCTAAACCTAGGGAAGTGCACAATTTATGATGGTTCCTGGCAGATCCAGGGAATGATTTTCAGTGAATGGGGGGAAAGGTCATTTATTTCTTCACTGTTGTAATATTTTAGTTCTGTATTTATCATCCCAAAAAGTATTGTTTAGAAATTTGTGGTGCATTTCAATTCAAGATTATATAAATATATTTGGGGTTATTTTGGAACCAGAGGATAGAAGCATTAATAAAAATTATAATTGTTTTCAAAGACCTAAAGTGAAATGCAGCCTTTCATTTTGGGTGAAATCAAATATTTCAGATAGACCAAACTGGGTATTTCTGAAGGGATTCTACCATCACCTCCAAAAACATTTTGTTAATTTATCAGCATAAGATTCTCCTTCATACTCAAAACAAAACATCTGTCCCTTCCTACCATTCCTTGTTAGTTAGTGTCTTTTCTTCCCCTTTCCATAAATGCCTAATTGAAAGAGGCATCAACTTGTTGGTAGCACAGCAGTTTGCAGAACAAGAAAAGCTATGAAATGCTGATGCAGAAACAACCCTGCAGGAAGACTTTCTGAACTGATACCACCACAGGATGGTGGAAAATGGTAAACATGCAATAAAAAAAATAAAAATTAAAAAAAAAAACCACACCAAAAAAACCCACAAAAACAAAAACAAAAACAAAAAAAAAGAAAAAAAAAAAAAAAGAAAAAAACAACCAATATTTTAAAATCACAGAAAAAAACCCAAACTCTGCAAGAGCCTTAAAAATTCAAAACATTTCAACTATATGCTTGGACCCAAGGGGATGTTCTAAGAAGAAATGCATCTGAATGGGACATTCAGAATGCCCCCATGAGAACAATTCCACATCGCAGAACATTTGTATTCTTTTGCCAGAATGCTGGTATGTGACCTGTACACTGAGCAGCAAAACTTTCACACCTCCCTTCATTTTATCCCAAGACAGGACTGGATAGCAAGCTTGAATTGTTAGCTATATTGTCAACATATTTTAAATAAAATATTCCTGTCCTCATGATGCATTATCACAGTCCCATTAGCCTAAGCCACTTGTAATAAACTAATATGCAGAATAATTTCTAGGTGCTAGCAGCTTAAGAAATAATAAGCAGTTTCTCTTTCTTTATTTCTCCCTCTCTTTCTTTCCTTCTTTCTTTCTTTCCCTCTTTAAAGGACAGACAGGCAGACAGACAGACATCCACCCTGGAATTTCCTCAGCAGATCAAAGTAGGTCTCACAACAACTGGTAGATGGCTACAGGATTCAGGATATAATTGTGCTTATGCCTTGTGCAAATAGAAAGCCTTGACTGATCTGGTCATCTGGAAATGAGTTTTATTGAGGGTCTCTTTCCTCCACACTGAGAACCTTGTCCTAAACTCAGAGGACAGACATAAAGGAGAGTCTCCATGCAGGGTGGTCATGGTGTTGATGCAGCTCCCAGAGGGTGTTATTTCCTTCTTCTCCAGGGCTGGATGAGCAACTGGATTATTTTGTTTGTGGGCCAGCCCTGAAGTTACCATCACGAGCCTTCATAACTGGACAGTTCTCTAGCCATGAGGGAAGGAATGATTTTCACTCTAACAACTCTGGGCTGCAGCTGCACTGACAGCAAAGGCACTGGGCATTCCCAACCTAACAGGCAACCAGTCACTCCTTCTGCCTCCCTCCCTGGAGATGGCACAAAGTCATCCTGGCAGGCTGGAGGCTGCTGCAAGCAAATAACTATTTGTGTGAGCACTGCAGAGATTAGATGTCATGTCCAAAATGCCAGGGGGAACAGCAGACTGCAACCAAAGTGCCCAACCCAGCCAGGAGTAGATGGACCAGCTCTGGGATAACAAGGGGACGCTGCACGCTTCTTCTGAGTGGAGAGGCAGAGCAGCACAGCAAAACCCCTGATCAGCATCGCCCTGATGTGCAGGTGCCTCTAGGCAGCCCTGTCAGTCTCCGAGTGCCCTGAGCCAGCAGCACTGTTGCAGCACTAGTCCTGCTCCTTCAGCTGCTCTGCCATGTCCCACCCCGATGATGCAGAATGCGCCAGTCAAGAGTGGAGAAGCATCATGGTTACCTAGGCAATGCCTTTGCCATGAACAATAAATAAAATAAAAGACAATGCCTTGGGTCAGCAGCACCCAGGGGTCTGTGTAACTCCCTCCAGTGCAATACATCCCTATGGAAAACCAGCTCCTTGCTCCGCACGTGGACACGTACACACACCCGCTGGTGCATTCCTTCTGCCTTCCACTGCGGGAAACTGCTCCTCCAGCTCTCTCCATGTCAGACAGCACAGAGGGAGAAGAAAACACATCCAAAAACACATCCAAAAACACATCCAACAGAGTTGCTTCCTACCTCTTCACAAATGACTACCAAACCGTGGGAGGAATCCAAGACCCTACGAGACAAGGAGTTCAAGCCTCCAGCACTGTGAACCGCTGCAGTGAAACCTCTTATTTAAATGCAATGGGAAATAGTGTTGTACACACAGACGGGAACAAAAAGCCGGACACCAGCCCAGCAGCCCGTTCGGAGCGGGTTTCTGTCACAGGAAGGCACTGCAGGCTGGCACTCGCTGCGGGCAGGCAGCCACCGCCTGGCCAAGCGTGATGGCGTGGCTCGTTTTTCACTCTGACACCACTGCAGGCTCCACAAGGCTCCTTGGCTCGCAAGGTGATCAGAATATTGAGTACGGTACTGCAGCAGCCAGCCTGGCACCCAGCGCGGCAGCGGAGCCGCTCCCGCCCTCCCTCTCCGCCCCTCTCCCTCTCGCCTGCGAGCAAAGAAGGAAAAGGAAGGAAGAACAAAACGCCCCATGACAGCGAGATTCCAACGCCCCCTCATACATCTTCGGGAATGGACCTTGGCTCCATTGTCTGCAGTCCTTCATCTCATTTCCTAAATGCCACAGTGTCCCTGGGTCTCGTCCCCATGCACAGCCCCCTTTTTAGCATGCATACTTCTGCCGTGGAAGTGTAACCCGGAGAAATTGTGATGGTGGCCCTGCTGCAGGGACACTGCGGTCCTCCTCTGCCTGTTACTACGCAAATAAAATTCCTGGAAGGAGCAATAAGTCCACCTCCCATGGTGCAGCCCATGGCTTGGAACTGCTGCCAGGGTCAGCTCCCGTGGTGGGACCCAGCCTTGTCCTCCTCACAACATCCACCCTCAAACTCTCAGCACACGTCTAGGAGATGGGAACAGCCTGATGTCCCACCTAAAACCTGAAGCCATTCCTCACTGATACCAACAGGAACCCACAGAGGCTGAGTTTTAGTCGGGGAAAAGTTGCAGACTTGAATCTCCAAGGGCATGGCTTAATCAGTTGCCACCAAACACACCTGAGAGGAACATCTATGAACTTGTGGCTTGCCATACTCCTTCTACTGACCTTTGCTCTGCTGCATCTCCCCCGGCTCTGTCCTTGGGTCTCTTGGGTTATTTCTCCTGTTCCATCTTCCCAGCTTCATTCCTGCCTGTATCTTTCCTGCAATGAGTCATCAAAAACACCTTCAAAAAACTTCACTTTCACTCGTGAGCTTCTTTACCTCATCCAGCTGGGCAGGTTGCACACAGAACAAATTATTGTTGGTATTTCTGAGAGTACTTAAGAACTCATGTCATAAACTGAGGGTGGGAGAGTCAGTCCTATAAGAGTTAAAGGGCCAATGGCATATTTTCATTGTATTTCTGAGATGCAGAAGCATCCCCTGTGATCAAAGATCTACAGGATGCTTAAGCACAGTCCCCATTTATCTTAGTTCTTTTTATTTATTTATTTAAATGAAATAAGATATCTCTGAAAAGCATTTAAATTCACATAAATATTGTGGAGAAGGAAATTTCATGCTGCTATCTGACTGATCAGTTACATGCATAGCAAAACCAGCAGTAACAGCACAGCAGAGGTGGGGTTCTCTCTCCCTCCCACTTGTATTGCTTCTGGATAACTCCTTATTGATCAGCTGAATGACACAGCAGAAATTTCCATTTCAAATTAAAAAAAAAAATTCATTTGCTGATTCAGTTTTAGAAAATGTTTGCAAGAGGTTTCAATGTCAAAAGGTACCATTTCATTGACCAGAACTCACTCAAGAATACAAAACTAATGTACCCTGTTGTTATTCCTTCCAGTGGCAAATGGGTTTTGCTATAATTAAGCCTGGGAAAATAGTTTATTGTTATAAGTATCTGATAGCAGATATTCTGAACTCATAAAAGTCTTTCTGATGTGAGATGGGGATTGACAACATAATCATCTCTCTTGACACTCTTCCTTTCTGCAGCAAAAAGTGTATTTGTGTGTACTCCTGCTCTCCTTCTCCCCCCAGTCCTCCCCACCTTTGGAGATGCTCAGGAGAGCTCATTGCTGCCTGTGGTGAATCAAAATGTGTTATCATTAGGCTGAACGTGTTACTGAGTTAATTAAATGTCACACTGTTGATAACATTAATTAGAAGCATTTCAGACTCATCTGAACACACACCCATCACAAAACCTGAGGAATAAGTGCTGATGTTTTCATCTCAGTAGATTTTATTGATGGAAGCCCTTCATCCATTCATTCATTACTAATATTCAATGCATTTTTTACACTGTCAGGCAACAAGTTCTTCTCTTTTTCATTCTGTACCAGACTGTAAAAAACACTTGTAGCACTCAGCTGTGGCCCATGTTTGGAAGCTCAGGTTCCCAGGATGAGGTTAGACCCTTTTTACTAGGACAGGGTTTTAGCAAGTTGAAGTCTGCAAGTCAATGGCAGCAACCTTAGGCTGTGCTTGTCCATGGCCTGAGAGCATCACAAAGTCATTGTGGAGGCTGATGTTGCCCAGGTTTGCACAGCTCGATCTTTTCCCTATGTAGCATGAATTCTGCACACCTTGGATTTGAAATAAGGGAAAGTCCTAAACCAAAGCAAATCCCAGCTCAAAAAATGCACCCCTTATTAAGTATGGACAAGGCAATTTTCCAAGCCAGGTACTACGCTGCCCCTAAATTCCTGTATGCGCTGCAGACCTTTTCTCACACAAAATTGCATTTCCCTTTGGCCCATCAATCATCTCTTATTTCACCTCACCTGCTGCAGGTTAATGCTCACCAGCACAGCCACCATCCCATCTCAGAAGCAATCTCAATCATTTCCTCCCAAGGAACACAAGCCCAAAACTTATTTGCCAGGCATCACTTCAGGATCTTTCATGCTCCTTTGAGCCATTGACAAGGCTGTTTTCCTATTACAGATTGAAACAACACTTTGCACCTTATCAGAAATGCATTTTACCATTTATTACTGTATAAGGGACATGAGATACCAGCTAAAGGACATCCTTCACAACACAGGATGTGTGGGCACTCTAAAATGTTAACTCTTGGTAATTTGTTTACTGATAACTGCTGGGCTGCCTCTCTATGCACTCCTCTTAAATGAGGTTTTCCTTGGTTTTTGAAACCTGCCTGGGTAAAGAACAGACAAAAGTCACAGCTCATTAAGTTTCTCAGTCTATGAAACAGAAATAAGGGTAGTAAAATTAAACAGAAACAACCTTCATTCTCTTCTCCATTCCAGCTGGCTGGAGCCTGAACTGCAATGCACACTGGCAGTGGATTTTTTCACCAGAGCCCATCATCTTTTGTTTCTTCATCACTGTGACATTGTTAGCTCGTTGTGGACCCTTTGTACTCTGCTTTATTGCTTTGTCTCAAAGCTCTGTCATATGTCTGACACCTGAGGTGTCCCACAGCATCTTTCACTAGGCTTGACCTTGGACTCAAAAAGATGTGGGGGAAATTGGTGTCCCTGCAAGTTCTGGCTGAAGAGAGAGGAAGAAACAATAAAACCCTAAAGAGATGATTATGGGAACTTTTATCAGGCAACTGTATAAAACACTCCATTTGCTATTAAAATGATAAACTGGAGTAGCTTCCAGAGATAAAGACTATGACAAAATTCTGTTATTAAGTGCTACAGCTTTGTTCTTGGCAGTGGCACACACCAAAAGCAGTGTAGCTGCGATGAGGAACAGAAATAAATTTTCACTGAACTTGCTGCAAACAGGAACAAGAAAGCAATGCAGATAATAATACCACAAGTTCAGCATATTCCTGCAACGTTTATATGAGACTTTAGATCACATTATGAATTTGCAATAAACAGTAGCATAAAAGATGTTTCATTGTAAAAATGCAAATTTAGAACTTTTGCATTCTATTTGACAAAAATATAATGGGGGGGAGACCATCAGAAAGATTTATTCAGCCTGAGAATACATCCAAACACATTGAGGGTGAGGATTGCATTGTTCCTACATGTCTTCAGAGCACCTCTGGCTCTAGAGAAAGATAAAAATATTTTTTTCTTAAACAAGAGAAAATTACCAGGGAAGGGACCTATAAATTTATATTCTTATCAGAGAAAGAATGGCCATAGGGCCAAGTCAAACCAGCTTAGTGAAATGTTTTGTGGCCAGCAGTTTTCATTAGGAAATTCTGAGAAAGAGTACAACAGCCCTAGCTCTGTGCATGTGGGCTTATTTAAATTAAGAGAAGGAAGAACTTGTTAGGAAAAAATAGTTACGGCAAGTATTTTTTACCTAGAAAACACTAACTTTGTTCTAAAATCTTTTCATTAATGTATGCTATATCAGGACTAATTCACATATTTGAAATGAAGAAAAAAAATAACCAGAAAGTCAAACAACAACTTGAAAGGAGGTCAGTGCCCAAGGCTATAAATATATTCAAAGACAGAATAAAAAGATAAAGTAGTGCATACAACAAATGTCACATTTGCTTTTTACAAGAGCAATTACCCACTAAAATAGCTTGTCTACAGCTTTGTGCAGGTTTCTCTCACTCAGTCTTTAAAGCAAGGTAGGATGATCACACAAAGGTTATGGGTCTTGTGCAGATGTAATGGACTGCAAGTCTGCACTCTGTAAGCTGACAAGATGAAGGAGTTGAGAGGAAATGATTCATGATCACCTTCTAGCCTTAAAACATGTGATTCCCAGACCCTCTGCATTATAGGTTTTGTTGCCTTCCTGTTTTCTGGATGGAGTGGATTCATCTGAGCCACAAAAACATCACCAGGAAGGCAGGGACATCTTAAAGTCACTGCACTGCAGCTTTCTCCTGGTTATTGGTTTTTTCTTTGGTGTTTCTGCAGGGACCAGCTGCTGCTTTGCTACTTTTCTCCACATTAGAGGAAAAATAATGAGAAATATTTGGTGACTGCGAACTTTCTTCTGTTTTCACAAGAAGGTGTTTTCCCATAACTATTCTGCATGTAGAAATATCCCAACATATCTTATGTTCTTTAGACAAATTAAAAACTGAGAACCAGGTCTAGCAAGGGACAACTTGGTGGCAAAGGTGTAAAAGGAGCAGTCAGGAATGATGGGCACTTCTGGTGGAGGAGGGTGAGCAGTAAATCCACAAGTAGCAGGATTAGGACCAGTTTTAGTCAACATCACCTTGTTCAATGCATTTGGTGATGGGTTTAGGAGTTCCTCCTGCTCTTCCCTCCGTCTCCACAAAAAAGTTGTAGTGTTTGGGGTGGGAATATGAACAGCAAGCTGTGTCCTTCTTCTGAAGGGTCTTGACACCTTTGCAAAAAGCCACAACTGGACTTCTCTGCTTCTCTGCAAGGCAGCATTCCATTCTCAAAATGCTTGCACCAGTGGCTAGAGAAAGAGCAACTCTTCAAACATCAAGGAGTAAATAATGTTGTCAACATCAGTGTCATTTAGCTGCTGGCAGATTTATAGAAGCAAAAAAAATTGCTGGCATTAAGTAATGTGACTGCAGGCTGGTCGTGTTTGTATTGTTTATGATCACAGAGCAGCCTTTGTCTGTGGGGTTTAGAGCAGAAGAGATGATCACAGTCCTCCAAAAAATATTGGCTTCTTACTTTGGTAATACTCTGTCTCAGGAAAGGCAAATTCACAGGCCTCCAGCAGCTTTGTACTGAACAGGATTTACAATAAAGGGGATTTTTAAAAGGGACTGAAAAGACAGTAGTGGCATATGTTTGAGTGTGCTTGCAGGGAGTGCTTTTGAATAAAAGCAGGTAAGGAAGGTATCAATTAAAATGCAGTGGGGAGGTGTGGAGAGGACAAAGAAGGTGTTTCTCATAGCCTGGCACAGGAGCGGGCACCACTGGGCGACAATTTTTGACAAATCCTGCCCCACTGCCTGTCTTGTGTTCCTCAGAGTCATTCATACCACAGCAGGGCAAAAATCTGTGTTCAAATGAAGATCGTGCCAAACTGGATCAATTTTTCCACCTCACACCAACTCTGGAGGCTCACAGCACCAGTAACCTTTGAAATCCCTGTGAAAATTGTAAGGGTTTATTTGGTTCAGAGCACACTGTGGAGGAGCTGAGGAAGGAATTGCAGCATGTGAAGCTAATGTTTTACCTGGCCAACACAGCCCAGATTTGTTTAGAACTAGGTTTACTGGCAAGTTTACAAACCTTTCAACAAG